TACATCTCCTTCAGCATTACCATCCAGAGCCTTGTGAAGACGGTAGAAGCGCCTGTTTGGTGATGCACCATCTGATGTGGCTGCGATAACCCACAAATTACATATTACTTCTAGAACAAAGATTGCTTCCCAGAATATTGGCATAAGTTGAGCAGCGGTTATTCCAGTAGTAGCAAAGTGGGCAAGACAAAATTTGAGTTCCGTGYACATTCCTCTAACAATGAATGCAAGTGCGTGTGAAGCAATCATGTCCACCTTCTCTAATGTAGCAAAATTCAGTTCAGGATCACCAAGGTCTGTAAAACCAATRAGTTCACCTGTTGTCTTATCCAGAACAAGATTTGCCATCACCTTCATTTCATCAAAGAGGAGAACAACATACCGCTGGACATCAAAATAGCTGTTAGTTTCAATCTTTAGTTCCTCTATGACCTCTTTCTGTATTCCCCTCTTTGGCTTAATCGCATTTCGATAGTCCCTTAAACGCCGTTGGCTTGGGAGAACCAACACACCACTATCTCTCAGTTCTTCGTAGCATGAAGGACTTTTGGCTGCCAAGGAAAGGCAAAACCTTATCATCATAGGATGATAGCGCACTCCTGTGGGCTTTTTGGAAAAAAGCTTTTGCTGTTCTTGCCAAAACAAGTTCATGAATGGAGTGATTTTGGCACTTGATGAATCTAGGATTTTAACAAAATCATCGCTTAATTTGTCKTCAACTTCAATGTTTGATTTAAGAATTTCTGATCTCATTTCGTTGAGTTTGGATTCCAGCTGCGCACATTTCAATCTTTGATTTTGCAGAGTCAACTTTAATCTTTGAGGGTCTGTTTGGGAAACARGTGCTTTTACGTGGGCTGGTTTCAATAGTTTGGCTTGCTTGACTTTTCTAGATCTACTGAGAGATACCAAGTATCCAGAGCAAGCATTACATACATCAGCARTATTCTCATAAAGTAGTGAGCATTCACGTGTTCTCCAGTAACCCTTGTGTGCAAATGGTTGTACTTGTTCCTCCATGGAATCACTGCTGATAGGTATGACATGATGGTAGAGTTTGCCTGATGTMCATGTAGCTTCAGTGCTGACATCAACACCACAACACAAAGTACTGTCCTTCAAGTTCTTAATCAAAGTAGATAAAGTCACATTGCGCAKRGTGCGACGATAYCTTAGATATAAAGGGTGATCTTCTATCAGGTACGAGCCAAACACTTTCACGGTAAATCCCAGGCTGTCATCCACAATTATTTCAAACTCTGGAAGCATATACGGCTCAGCTTCTTTCTTGAAAATCACTCTGTCGGTCAATACTTTACAATTCYACTCGTTTAGTGATTTCAGGCTCTTCACTYGATTGCAAAATTCTGCAAATGTCTCGTAGAAACAGCTGTTTGTAAGATTGATTGGCACATCTTTTACGATTGATCGATGGGGTCGCGCTGCTGGCTTAGCGGTTTCATGGCTTCTTTTCGGCATATTTAAGACAGGCAATGCGCCAAATCKGGGCTTTTTTTTCGTCATTTTCTCAGAGTGAACTGCAAAAGTCAAAAATAACAATTTAAACATAAGATTAGACAAGAATTGATACCGAGATGTACGAGTCACACGTACGTAGCTATAGAGATCAGAGCTAGCCTGAGTATCAGGCTCTCTCGAAGGGGTTTGGGGCGGAGCGAGAAAGGASAGAGAGCCTGACACAATCTTCTATCAAGAGCCGTGTTCGGCGGCCGTTTCATGGCCGAAAAGCTGATTGGTCTAGAGGACAAAGGAAGTGACAGGAATTTAAATATATATTTAATTATTATGTTACCGAACGACGCTATGACTCTTGATATAAGTGAATAACAGTTTGGGGAAGCTTTAATAGTAACATGGTTGCAGAGGCTTGTCTTTTATTCTTTTTTTTTACTACGTTATCAAGCCGTTCTTGAATCGGTTTGTTTTTTTCGCGTACAAAAACAAACCGATTAACGGAAACGTCTCATATAACACTAACATTACACCGACCTATAACGGAGTAAAACAATTCAAGATTATAGTGATCAATCCTCTAGAGTTTATTAGACGTCCACAAGTTGAAAATCTGGTAAAAATCGGCATAAAAGCTGCGACTTTTCAAATAAATTTTGACATATAAGCGCCACATCGAGAAATCAAGCAAAACCGGAACAGCTTTTAATTGGCTTAAATTTATTGTCACGCGTCACGCATTGCAAGGAGGCGGAACGGCTCTTGATAGAAGATTGTGTCAGGCTCTCTCTCCTTTCTCGCTCCGCCCTAAACCCCTTCGAGAGAGCCTGATACTCAGGCTAGATCAGAGCACGTAAACAAACTACAATAAACTGTTATAAGTCATTCTTTACTTACAAATTTCAACATCATCGGCATTAAAATGTTTCTCACAGGTATACACTCTGTCCCTTTTGATCCGTTCTTTAAAATCGTGGTCGATAACTCTTGTTTTTGAGATTTCGCCGAGCCACGCATCTCGCCATTTACGGTAAGCTTCATCTTTAGCTGTAGGCAGCTTCCATATGCCGATACCTTTAGTTTTACGCGACGAACTGCAACCAAACACGGCACAGTTATCGCCTGTCATCACGTCTAGATGATCAGCCACTCATCCACGGAAAAAGAGTAGTTTTGAACCATAAAACAAGCTAAAATATATAGTATCGCGTCTCTGTTTACACTGATAATCAATCGTCTGGAAAAGCATGCATGCACGGTCAAGTGACGTCACAGAGGGAAAACCATAACAATAACATGCCCCTTTGAAGTTTGCCGGGTCTCCTAACCAGTCTCCTCTACTAACTCTGGTTTGGATGATCGCCCAGGTCATGGATAATTGTCGCTTCGTGGATAAGCTCTGAGCGACATCTCTCTTTTTCAGTCGAATAACCAGTCGAATAACCAGGCGACCGTGATTTGTAAAATTATAAAGATTTGGCCACCAAATTGACGGACAATGGCTACCTTGATAACCAAGTGTCGGTAGCCATTGTCCGTCAATTGACTCTGATTTAAGGTAATATGACACTTACAGCAAACACCAATTTCAGCAATAAAGCATAAGTGTCATATTGCCTTAAATCAATGGCTACCTTGATAACCAAGTGTCGATTCTGCGACAAAACTTTTAAACATTCTATATGCTAAAGAAGCATGTAGAAAGTAGACATCCCTCCCAAGAGCTATGCGTAAAGCCAACTTTTTTTGACTCAGATGATAAAGCCATAACATTGCCGATAGGTGAAGTGTTGAATGAAGAAGACAAACCTGGCTACTACTCGTGGCTTGCAGGCATAACAGAGAGAATTATATCAACGCTTCATCCACGATTACCAGGTACGATTATTATCACGCTGGTTTCTTATTATAAATAGATAATATAGATAATACCAAGTTACTTATAATTTTAAACGAACTTCATGTAAGGGACTAACATTTCGACCCATTAGGGTTTTAGTTAAATATGTAATCTATTGAATCATATTTGTCAAAACGAATCAACAATATGTTGACATCTGAACGAGAACAGGGTCTTGGATAGTCCACATTTTATCAATTGGTCTCGAGTAGGGTATGGATCTATAGTGTTTAGAGGTTCCAGCGGAACGTCCCTGTCAGAAACTTGATCAAGTAGCCACCCTCCCCGTGGTAATTTCTGGTTTATATTGTAGAAGTATAGTATTAGAACAAGTCAGAGATAGTTAAGTATTTGAATCTTTTATGTTTATTATTAATCTCTCTTTCTGCGTTCCGTTTGACTCGTTTCGTTTAGGCAAATGGGTGAGAGTAGACAGTCACCAAGTACCAACAAATTACTTCCTGCATTTCCTGCACAAGGTCAACGCAAATGCCAATCATGTACGAGTGAAACCCCACAGAGCCCAACCCGGTTATCAAAGTTTTGCAACTGCGATTTCTTACAAAATCTTTGACCTAGAAGACTTCTGGGCAGCATTAGAAGAGCAAACACTCGTTAGATTTGTGAGTGAGTTATCATTCAAAGGAAACTCAGTAGCAACTTCACAAGTACCGCTCTCAGTAGACGAGGAAATAAGACGAGCACGGCAAGAAGGAAACAAGCCTATTCAAAATAGGGACAGAATATCCTCCAAGTCAACCTTTATAGTTGGATTTGGAGAAGGACGGGCAACGAGGGAAATTGAACTTATTTGGTGGCCAAATCTTTATAATTTTACAAATCACGGTCGCCTGGTTATTCGACTGTATATCAGTAAATGTGAATTTTAATTTTTTTAGGCTGCAGCGTTCCGAACGAAAATGTATGGCCATTAAAAACAAAATAGGCCAGTCTTGATATCTCTTTTACTCAGTGTTAGCCTTAGCCTGCGTTACATCCGGTTTTATTTGCCAAAAGAACCGAATTAAAAAACCAAATTAAACCGGATGTAACGCAGGCTATGTTAGCCTCAATTGTATGTAAAAAAACCCAGAAATTTAGATAAAACTCGTGAGATTTCAAAATATTTTTATTGGCAGACTTTAATGCTCACAAATCTCTTTCATTTTCACGGGTTGTTACTGAACTAAAGAATATATCACATGGTTTTGTCCAGCGCGTGACAGCGAATTTCTTTATAATTAGCATTAATTTAGATTATTAAATACTATTTACACCATCAAAAAATTGCAAATAGAATGAAGTCAATGAACCCGTGAAATACATATTTGACTATTACATGTTATTACTCGATAATTCCATTGTTTTCTTTTGTGTCTATTTGACTATTACAGTTTAATTATTAACTTTTATTTCACAGGATCAATGCCTTCACTCTAACAGGTTCCATTTATATCTGAACTTATATAATATGTACAGATCAACCAATCAGAGTGATTATTTGCAAGGTGATATTCTATTGGTTGATGTGCGGGATAGTACACATCACATTTGCATAAGTACAGATTTAGATGGGAAACTACAGATTAAATACGTATATGAACAAATGGCATGAATATAGAATAAGTTACATGTTTCTCCATTTGAGAATGAGTTTCATTAGCTGTTTTCTAAGTACCTTCATGTTGCCATACGTCCATGAGTGAGTTTGGGGTATTCTTCCAAAGTTAAGGATATCTGATATTGTGTAGATGACTCCAACTCCACAACTTCCAGAGCCGGCATTTCCAGTGGGGTTTTGTGTTGGCATGTTCATACGTGGAAGAGGAAGTGTAAGATGTGGTTTGTTCCATTTCTTTTTGTCGAAGTTCTGGGTGCAGCTAAGCTTTACAAACCCATCAAGCATATTTTCAACAATAGTAAGGATTTGACCTCCCGGTTCAATTTTCATCCCATCATCAAAGTACACACATTGTATGGAAGTGTCAAAGCAAATTATGCCCCAGTGTGCCATGACTTCATAATGAAATGGTGTCACAATGTAGGTGGCGTCATCAACAGAGCAGTGGGAGAAGTAGCTAGTCACTTGATTTGTGAAGAAATTTTCTCCTCGTTTTGCCCATGTCTGGCTGTAGCTAGGGAGGTAAACGACACCTGTGTTACTGTTACCAACCAATTTGAGGCAGGTAACATCAAGTGCGAAGCTATTCAGGTATCTCTCACCAACAAGAGTGCTGAAGTCTGTAGCATCCATGATGTTAGAAATACCATACCGTAAAACCTCAGCTTGAGGCTGTGAACTCATCAACAGGTTTTTTATATCAGCATCGTATGATTCCGACAGCCAAGCCTGCTCTTCTTTGACTTTATTTCCTATAACAGCAGCATTACAGACCTTCATTAGAATTTCAAGGGACTCTTGGTTAAAAGTTCCTATTCCTTTTAAACACACTGCTCTTGTTTTGTCACGACAGTGGGACAGCAATTCTAAGGCATGATGTAGTGTACCCTCGCTTGGACGACTTTGCACTTTAAATGGATTATCTAGTCTTGATGGCCCATTAACAAGTTGAATGTCTGATTTCCTGCATCTAGTGACAGAAGGCAGCTGAAGATGCACCGTTTCTCCACGGGTTAATGTTTTACTTCAACACCTTTCGAGGCTATCGCTGAAGTATGTATGCAACCTGGTTGGTACTTTTGACGTGGTTGGTACTTGTGACGTGTTTGGTACTTTTGACGTGGTTGGTACTTGTGACGTGGTTGGTACTTTTAACGTGGTTGGTACTTGTGACGTGGTTGGTACTTGTGACGTGGCTGGTACTTGTGACGTGGTTGGTACTTGTGACGTGGTTGGTACTTTTGACGCGGTTGGTACTTGTGACGTGGTTGGTACTT